GGTGCAAAGTAATTCGAAATGAAAAGCAAATGTACACCAAAACTGTCGCCAGAACATATGATACCCCTGATGTAGATGCTCACATTCTCCACCTGTGGGAAGCAAGAAGAAACCTCACTAAGAGATGGAAAAGGCAAAAGCGAAATAAGAAACTCAAAGCGAAAATTGAAGAAATAACGCAGCAAGCCGAACAGTACGCTAATCAACTCGCGACAGCCAACTGGGAACAATTTTGCGATTCAATAAATGGAACCTTAGCAACAGCAAAGACATGGAATATCCTAAGAGCCATGATTGACCCTCTGAAAAGTAAACGCGAAGGACAAAAATCTCTAGAAAGATTATTGCACACATATCCAGGCACAAGAGATGACCTGCTTCAAGACATCTATATTAAGTGTTTCGGCGCCCGAGCCATCACAGCCCCTTACGAGGCTAAATACACTGGGCTCCCAAACTCAGAACTGGATGCGCCTTTCACGCATGCCGAGGTCAGAGCGGCAATCGTCAGCATGAAACGCAACACAGCGCCTGGGGCGGACCAAAGCACCAATGCCATGATTCGCAACATGAATGACGAAGCCATAACAGCGCTTCTAAACTTCATTAACAAACACTGGGTGAATGGCACTATACCACAGCAATAGAAGCATGCTGTAATAATTATGATACCCAAACCAGGAAAGAAATTGTCAATAGAAAACCTCAGGCCAATCTCTCTTACCTCGTGCTTAGGCAAAGTGTTTGAGAGATTAATAAATACTTCAACGGCACCTTGAACAAAATAACTTGTTGCCAAACACCATGTTTGGTTTCCGCTCGAACCTTTCGACACAGGACATCCTTCTGCTTTTAAAGGAGGAAGTACTAACAAATGTTCCAAAAGCAGGAGAAAACATTGTCATGGCCATCGACATAAAAGGCGCTTTTGACAACGTAAGCCATAAGGCCATATTAGATGGGCTACCAGCGACAAACTGCGGTCAAAGGACCTACAAATATGTACAGAACTTCCTTACTAAAAGAACCGCTGTTATCAGATTAGGAGAACACGAATCCAATGTCTTCCACCCACCGAGCAAAGGCACACCACAAGGCGCTGTGATCTCGCCTACGCTTTTCAACATAGCCATGATTGGTCTAGCCAAAAAACTGGAAGGTATTCCCGACATCCGACACTCCTTCTATGCGGATGACATCACTGTATGGACAAGCAAGGGTAGCTTGGCGGAAAAAGAAGAGCGGCTTCAACTTGCAGCTAAAACCATCGAATATTACACTAAAGAAAGGGGGCTTCAGTGCTCAGCAGACAAATCGGAACTCATTCGGTTCTACAAGAGTAAAAAACAAAGGACAGACCCGAGCCTTCGCCTTGACGTCAAGCTAGACGGCAATATTATACCAGAGAAAACAACTGTACGGATCTTAGGGATGTGGTTACAGTCCAATCAGCGATGTCTCCACACCCTGAATACGCTTAAACGAACAGCTCAACAAATTGTTCGTATGATAGTTCGAATAACGAACAATCGTGCTGGACTGAAAGAACAAGACGTGCTTCGTTTGGTAAAGAGCTTAGTCATCAGCAGACTAACATACTCGCTACCCTACCACAACATGAATAGAGAGGAGAAAGAAAAAGCAGACAAAATAGTAAGGATGGCGTATAAAGCGGCTCTGCGACTACCACAAAGCACTTCAACTGCGAAACTATTAGCGCTCGGACTTCACAATACAATTCATGAGTTGGCTGAGGCACAAGTAACCACCCAGATTAACCGCCTGCTACAGACGACAACCGGCAGAAAACTTTTTCAGAGGATCGGCCTCGGCGAACAAGTACAGGCACATGGAGGAGCTAAGGAATTGTCGTGCTCAGTCAGAGCCTGGTACAAAATATGCCCCCTACCGAAGAACATGGACCCAGTTTTACATGCTGGAAGACGCAAAGCAAGAGCCGTTTACATAGATAAACAGACAAAATATCTGAATACGGCGAGATTTACTGACGCTGCACCATATCAGGCAAATGCAAAGAACATGGTGGCCGTGGTCACAGACCGAAAAGGAAACGTCACAAGTTGTGCCTCCATAGCCCAAGCCTCTATCACAGAAGCGGAGGAGATAGCGATCGCGCTGGCAATCAAGGAGGGCAGGGAGCGAAAAGCCCCAATGACAATAATCACAGACTCGGAGGCTGCATGTAGAAATTACGAAAAAGGTAGAATATGTGAGAAGGCCTTCCAAATTCTAACCAAAGCTCACAAGGACTTCCCAATTGAATACACCCAAACCATCATCTGGGCGCCAGGGCACGAGGGCGTCACCGGGAACCAGTTTGCGGATGAGGCGGCTCGAGGCTTCACAGATTACCGAGCTTCCTTGCACACTGCAATAGAGGATCCAACGCCCCTAGACGCTAACTTTGGTGCAATTCTTCAGTATTACAGGGACAATAAAAAAGTGTATCCAGTACCGCATAAGAAACTTACAGCAATGGAATCGGTGGCATTACGCAGAATCCAAACAAACACATACACGAACTTACACAGGCTGCATGTATTCTACCCCACAGCATACAAAGATATATGTCTGTGGTGTGGGGCCACACCAACTCTGTTTCACATCACGTAGGAGTGTACGCATCACAATGAAGAACACCACAACATGAATAACACAGAGGAACAATGGGAGGTGCTGCTGTCCAGCTCCGCCATTGTTGATCAGCGCTGGCTGGTCCAACGGGTAGAAATGATTGCTAGGGCCAGCGGAGCCCTGGAATAGGGGCCCGACCATTTGGAATGCTCCGAGTTATGCGCAAATAATGTTTTCTCTCTCTCTCTCTCACAATGAAGAGTCTGCTAAAAGCGTTCCGCCTACGTGTCCCTTTCTGAACAACTACTGCGTCAGTCTTCCCTGCTCGTGCTCACCGACCAGAGGCATGCGCTGCTCTCTGCCAAGATGCGTGAGCACGCGCGAGGCACAGTAGACGCCCACATAGAGTCTCGTTGGTTTCGAGGCACTGTAGACGCTCACATAGCGTCTCGTTGGTTGCGAGGCACTGTAGACGCCTACATAGCGTCCTGTTGGTCCTCTTCGTAAAATAATTAGTAGGAGCATTCACTGTGGTTATATGACGGCGTATTACAGCCCGTCTTCATGGCTATTAGTGAAGCCACGTGCCACGTATTGTCTAGACGATTTATGCACAATTATTCCAGTTTCGAATTTTCGACGATTTTTTGTAAGAAACCAGGACAAGGAAAAAGGTACTGAAGCAAGGATAATAAAAAAAATCCCCTCCAACAGTTCACAAAAGAACATAAATTGACAACTTGAAGAGTGATTCATAGAAAGAATACCAGTAGGTAGCACAACAATGCGGAATAACTGCATGTATGCGAATACAAGTGAATACAGGTTATACAACTTACAAGCTATTCTAATATAATCAGAACAGTAAAACAGAACAACCTTTTGTGGAAAGAATAGTTATGGTTACAAATAAACGAGAGAATACTATAATCTATTCATGCTGTGTTCGTAAAGCTTCGTCGATTGCAGACGTGAAGTTGACTAAAGAGCGCGTGATTGCAGTTGGTTGATCAAGTACATTTCAGTCTGTTTTCGCTCCACGGAACGAAGAGTCTTTATAGCAGCTTGATAAGTGTCCATAACCAGTTAGCGTCAACAAGTGTTTCTTACGTGTAGGCCTTCATGTGGTTATTGAAATATATGTAGTTGTGTCAATGTTAAGCTGTTTGTGCAAGAGCTAATGCAGGAAGTTCAATGCCAATATGTGGCTGTATTTTCAAGGCTAAGAAGTCCAGCCCTTTTTAGGAATTCCGCATGTTTGTCTGAAAGTTTGTATTTGTCAAATACCAACCTAATAATTTTTTTGATCCGTTCTGGTTTATTATTCTTATGTCCGCTGTTTGGAATCCTGTTACGATAAGATTAGTGAAACAAAGTTTGGATTCCAACCTGATATTTACCTTGAAGAAAGCATCCTTTTATGTTATCAGCACCGCTTACGAAAAGTTCTATCCACTGTTGCTGAGTTCGATGAGCTAATCCGCGACATATGATTCAAGATCAATAACCTTAAGCAAATGAATCTGTTTTTACTAAAAATTCAGGAGGGTTTCGGTTACGTTTAGCACTGTAAACTCATGACTATGATCAACTCATCCTTCTGAAACAGACGTATCGTTTTCTGGATCCAAGATCACTTTACTAACCAATTACGTTTTGTAGAAATTCAGCTGAGGCAATTCAATGGCACTGTCAAGATTGCGGCTGCCTGAAGGTTATCAAAAATTACATTCTATGTCATTGAATAACCACCGCGCCCAACCAGAGGTGATTAGCTAGGCCGAAACAGTCGTGACGAGCTACGAGCCACCATTCATCGAACCACGAGCAAGCTAAACTCAATGACCTCGTTGTGCCATCAATAAGGTTTTCAAGGTGTTTACTGACTGACTTGGTTAGAGAGAGATGGGCTTATAATTATTCAGTTCCGATTTGTTTACGGACTTCTGTATTTGAATTATTATTGCTACTTTACAATCTTGTAGTGTACTTGTTGATAATGATTAAAAAACTTAGAACAAGCATATGACTATTTATACTGAATAAATGTTTATAAATATGTTACGTATGTTGTTCTAACTGCCACTCTTTGGTGCTGTATTCTAAGTATACTAGGTTTCGTTATTACAGGTACTTCTAAGCGTATTAGGTTTCTTGCATTGACATGTGCGTCGTTTCTATGAAACATGGTAAAAACTGACTCAGAATATTCATTGAAAACGTTTGTTCTTCAATGTTAAGGTTGTCTTTTGAGAGAACTCAGTTCTCTCTTCATCCTTTGTGTTTTGATAATTTCAGAACTTTGATGAATTTTGTTAGAGGCAGATTCGCACATATATTGTAACTTTGCCACATTCTCGACACCGCAAGTGTGCCTTCTATATTTATCATAAAGTGTTTCTCACATGTTGTCCAGCTTGCTTGCAACCTTGACGGTTCGGGGTTTCTCATCCTTGAAGAGTTCCTCGAAGTCAGCAACGATGTTATGTTGCGTTGCGAAGCACAGTGGGCTGCCAAAGCGGTAGAGTGTCACGGCGTCTGTCTAGAATGTCGAACGATATAACTTCCTGAACAGCACTGCTGGGTAGAACACAACATGCCAAACATTTTTTAACTAACGTAAGAGCTTGAGTGAGTGATGATATCTATAATGAATGAGTGAAACCAATAATGAATGAGTAGCGCACTGAACGAGTGGTGTACTTCTGTAGTGAGTGAAAAGTGTTCGCCAAAATTGTACGCTGTCCGTGTATACAGGCGCAGGTGCACCGACTCTTCAGCAGCTGTATTCAATATTATCACTTTGATTGACGCACAGCCATACCCACCTCACCTTGTACACAATAATTGAGAATTCTGTGAGTGTCAGTAAGGCATGCAATGTGGGCGAGTTAGAAACGATGCATATTTTATTTCAAAAATAATCGCGAATCCGCTCCATCCAAAAGTTGATAAGGACGCAGTACGAGCGTTGTCTAGGAACTGATGTTTGTTAAAATTTTGTGCAAGAAAACTACTACCACACAAGCACAAACAATTTAGGTCACGAGAATGAAATTCCTCAGCTATGCGCAGAATACACAGTTAGACAGTGCTCGAGACACAATCGGACAAAATGACCATTGTGTTGTGAACTATTTCTTGTATTACTTTTGTCAAGAACACCGAGACACTCTGAACGCTACACCAATGTAGCTTTTTCTCGCTTTTCTGACAGAAAACTTAGGTAGAAATCCCGCATTATCAAATTAGTGAGAATTACTAAAACATGAGCCACCGCTTTAGAAAATCATACACTGAAGAACAAAACGAGTCGAATATTCGCGTCAAACATTCCAAGTTGGAATGTCGAATATAACGAATGAATTTATAGGCACATAAATTTAGCTATAATGTCACATCTCTACTGAATTACTACTCACACTTCGTTCGGGCCATTTGTTGTCTTATAATACTCTCTGGCATCGAGCTTCTTTTTATTTTAGATGCATTTGATGTGTCGAAGAAGGATGAGCGAAGTTTAGTGATCGTCTTTACACGCCCTCAATTTTTTCCACAGCATTTTGTTTGGTGTCAGCTTTCGTATAATTCTGCGATAGACCTCTAATCGGTGAGCTGTGTGCAGCAGTTGCCATGCTTCTATGAACACGAGTCCAGCAAGTTATGCTGGCCCAAACGTAGCAGACAACTGCACCAGTATGTAAGGACTACAACTTCCCACCATTCCAAGTGAACGCTTGCAGGCTGCAGAACGTCTTTGAGAGAGTGGCAGCCTGCTACAAATGTTTCCTTTTGCGTTTACACCACGAATTTTACAGTAAGAAGAGTGGCCGTAGATTTCGACATTTTCAGTGCGCATAAGTACCTACATCAAGATCGGAATTATTTGGTGCCCCGCCGCGGTGGTCCAGTGGCTAAGGTACTCGTCTGCTGACCCATAGGTTGCGGGATTGAATTCCGGCTGCGGCGGCGGCATTTCCGATGGAGGCAGAAATGTTGTAGGCCCGTGTGCTCAGATTTGGGTGCATGTTAAAGAACCCCAGGTGATCGAAATTTCCGGAGTCCTCCACTACGGCGTCTCTCATAATCATACGGTATTTTTGGGACGTTAAACCCCACATATCAATCAAAATTATCAGGTGGGTTAGTAAATCAGTGTTAGCTTCTCTTTTTCCTCCATTTGCACACTTAGGAAATAAAAAGCAGTTCTTTAGCAATTCATCCATTAAAATTACCATGGCTAAACTCAATTGTAAAATACTTGCAATCACAGTGAAGTATCCCCGGCAGTGGAAATAGAACGCCCCGCTATCTCAAAAGACTTGAACGCAGCAGCATTTATTACAATGCTGTGTTGTACGCACCCGTAATGGCGTTCCCACCGACACGAAGATGTCAGGCCTGCAAGGTTTCAGGCGACACCCCTTGTTCCTGTTCATGTGAAAATAACATCACAATCACTGCAGTTGTTTCCTGTCTATCCTATTTCGCAGTTTTATTTATCCAGAACATCAGTTGCGATCACTGGGTAATGCTGAAAAGAGCTAAATAAAACTGATCAAGTAACTTTGTGTTCAGTTATCGAGATGTTACCATGCATGCCGCCATACTATCCCGGAATACCGAGGTAATATCTCGGCAACAGCGGCCAGTGCTTCGCCGCTGGCGTACTGGCATCAGTAAATGCAGTCCGTCGGAGTGTTCTTGTTAAGCCTACTAACAACAGTACGTACACACTAAAAAACATCGAGTAAAAAGGGTGTCTTTTTGTCCCCCAACAATAATCGTCATCAGGCCGCGTGCGCTTCCTTTCTTGAAAACTCGGCGCTGGCCTCTTTCCTATCGAAAATGCAATGTAACCCTGATAATGGGCATGTCGATCGTGACCGGAATGTACCTGGCGCGGGGCGATAGCGCAAGGACCGAACGCAATATAAATGACGACTATTGTTGTGGGACGTTAAAGAACCCCAGGTGGTCGAAATTTCCGGAGCCCTCCACTACGGCGTCTCTTATAATCATATAGTGGTTTTGGGACGTTAAACCCCACATATGATATATATTGTTGTTGGACAAAAATACACCCTTTTTACTCGCTCTTTTTTTAGAGTGTATGTGACTTGGACCCAGTTCCCCGTTACGTTTCAGTATACTTCCAGAAAACAAAGTGGTACACGGCGAAGCCCAACAACACTCCAGCCGAGCCCTCTTTCCATTGGGACCAATGAAGGTGCAAACAACCATCTTACCTATCCCTTTAAATCTCTTATTACCCCCATTCCTCCTGAGCTACTGTTGAGGTGTCGCACTATGATGCATCCAGTGATGGGTATAGCTTTTCTTTTCTTTTCTTTCTTTTAAGGACCACTTATCACTTACAAGGCTTATCTCCATGCGTCGATTGTGTACGCGTGGTGCTAGGGCACTGAGTAAGGGGTATGCTGGTGGAGCGGTGAAAAAGTGCGGTAACTGCACGGCTTAAACCGTATCCTAATTGCGCAAATAAGCCATCTGATAGTGTATAGTACTAATCGAAGAAATCAGAACAATATTTATTGCTCATTGGCAAAATTACGTCACTTCGCATCAATTGAGTCGTGAAAAGGCTCTGGAGGGGGTCCCGCGAATTGTTTTTAAATGCGGGAAACTTCGGCGACTTTGAGCATATCTATCTATCTATCTATCTATCTATCTATCTATCTATCTATCTATCTATCTATCTATCTATCTATCTATCTATCTATCTATCTATCTATCTATCTATCTATCTATCTATCTATCTATCTATCTATCTATCTATCTATCTATCTATCTATCTATCTATCTATCTATTGAAAACTGGGGAAATTCCACCCAATTGTAGGTGGAACCATTGCAGCACCTTACACAATTCGGCTACATAACTCAGGTATTATCATTGGAGGAGTATTGAAGGAGGAAGGACAGGGAGGTTAGCCAGTTCATAGGTAATATGAAACGTTACAAAGAAGCAAAGTGAAGCCCGTTTACTACACTTCTTTCCGCACTGCAAGCACTTTGGACGTCTATCTATCTATCTATCTATCTATCTATCTATCTATCTATCTATCTATCTATCTATCTATCTATCTATCTATCTATCTATCTATCTATCTATCTATCTATCTATCTATCTATCTATCTATCTATCTATCTATCTATCTATCTATCTATCTATCTATCTATCTATCTATCTATCTATCTATCTATCTATCTATCTATCTATCTATCTATCTATCTATCTATCTATCTATCTATCTATCTATCTATCTATGCACTTACGTTTGGGTGCTCTCGTGACCACCCCAATAACTTGACCTGAACCAAAATTACAATGGAAGGACGAAGTAGTTTGACGTATTTGACGCACTGGTCAGAAGATGAATAATGTGCCAATCCCATGGTGAACCTCGTTAAACACATCCCTTCAGACAGGGGCACACTGCCTGAAGAGATGACTTCTAAGCGGAAAGACTTCTCTCCTGCTACGCGAGAGGCAACAAGAAAGCTTATCGAATTCGCCAAGGCCAGAAAAAAAATTCTTTAAGCTCTCTGTTCACAGATTGCGCATAGATGTTGTAACATACGTGTCCGACCACGCAACAAGCACGTAGTGCGACTAGGCAGATAGCTAAGGCGTGGTACCCGCACCGGTGAATTCAAGCAGGCACCTGAGCCTCAGAATTTACCGCCACTCACCATATCATTCTTTAATATTCGCAGCCTCCTGCGAAAGCTCGACCAGGTCTCTTCCTACCTTGATGACACGGGTTCTGACATAATCATCTCCACCAATACATGGCTTCATGAAGATATTTCAGACAATGAAATTAATCCCTTACAAATTACCTATAACATTTATCGTTGCGATCGCGTTAACAGAAGGGGTAGAGGCGTAATTATAGACATCAAAAAGGCAATAGCCTCTTATCTAATGGCGTCTGCTACAGATGTAGAAGTTGTATGGGTTGTTTGCAGAACTCCATTTGAGAAATTAGTGATTGGTTGCTGCTATCGCCCTCCAGACACTAATCCATCATTTCTAAGCAACTTACGATGCACCATAACTCATGCTGTTAAGACGTGTCAAACTGAGCTCGTTTATTTATTTGGCGACTTTAATTTTCCTTCAATAAACTGGAAGCTGCTTTCATCGAATTACCATGTCTCCACTGCGTTCATTGCCTTAACATTAGATTTTAATCTGCCCAGATCATAAGCCAACCCACTCGTGACTCGAGTATACTTGACTTGGTATTAACAACGGCACCAAATACTATATTGAATATAACATACATAGATGGCTTCAGCGACCACTGGTTAATTCAAATGATTCTTAACGTCCCATTTCGTCTCGCTCAAGCTGAATCAAAAACGATTCGTGATTATAATAGAGAAAATTGCATTGTTATAAATGATGAATTATGCACGTTCTTTGAGAGCGTACTTTTACCATCATTTCATAATCGATCCGTACAAGACAACTGGACACTCTTCAAAAACAAGTAAGCTTCGTTAGTTAGTGAACATAATACTACACTCAAGATAACAGATGATAAACAAAAACCATGGTTCAATAAATCACTTAACAGATTAAGAAATAAAAAAGGAATTGTACGCGGCGGCTAAACGCGCGCAAACTGCTGCTTCGTGGCAAAGGTATAGAGACTTCTTGAATAGCTACTGCTCCGCGATACGCGCCGCCCGTGATAAGTATTTTTCTCATGATCTATCGTCACTGCTCACCACTAGCGCTAAGAATTTTTGGAAACAAGTGTGCCCAGAACGTCACGATAACAAAATAACTTTGCAAAATGTCGACCAACTTCCCATTCTAGATCAAGACTGTCCTAACGCTTTCAAGACTTTCTTTACATCAGTTTACACCACTAAAGATCATACAAACGTCCCCGATGTAGCCGATCTTGACTATCCCTTTTTGCAGCCCATTGAAATCACTGTTGACAGAATCGCATCTATAATAAATAATCTTAAACTGTCCACGTCAGCGGGCGTTGACGAGAGTAACATTAAGATACCAAAAAGTACATCCTCACCCTCGAGTAAAATATTATGTCACATCTTTCAGCAATCACTATCAACAGGACAGCTTCCACATGACTGGAAAATTGCAAAGGTCATCCCCGTTTTTAATAGCGGCAATAAAAACACCTCGAAATTACAGACCCATTTCTTTGACATCCATCTGCTGTAAGATGCTCGAGCATATAACCGCCTCTCATATTTACAATCGCTTAGAGCAGAATGACTTTTTCTTAACTAACCAACATGGATTTAGAAAGCCCCTATTCATAAACTTCTCTGTCAATTATACGAGTGTATACAGCGGAATTCATTGTATCCGCATGCATTTTGTGTCTGTGTTTGAGTTGTTTCATTGATATTGTTTAGTTGTGAATTATAACGAGAGTGACCTCTAATTCTTAAAATGTGTTATGTAAACTTCTTATGCTATTTATGCTTGAATTTTGCGTTTACAATTTCAGGTTGCTTGAAATCAATGTATTGAATATATATTGTTTAAGCTTTGCACTGTCACGGACTGTGGAGGGACAAGGGCCTTTGTCAGGCTGTTCGCCTTTAGCCCTTTGCCCCTGCAGTGAGCTCTGTATCCGGCTTACTGTAAATAAAAATACTACTAGTACTACTACTATTACGCGAAACACAGCTTTTTGAATTCACGACTGACCTACATCATCACTTAGATCTAAACTTGCAAATTAACTGTCTTTTTCTGGATTTTTCCAAAGCTTTCGATCGTTTTGCTCCCTGCCGCTTAATCACTAAACTCTCTTCTTTGTGTATAGATTCATCAACTCTGTCATGGATACGGAACTTTCTTACTAACCGGCAGCAATTAACCATTGTTAATGACTTTTCATCCCAACTTTTATACGTTTGTTTTGGTGTGCCGCAAGGGAGTGTTCTCAGTTCACTGCTTTTTCTTATTTATATTAATGACTTACCAAGTAATTTATCCTCACAAATGCGCATTTTCGCTGATGATTGTAAAACTTAGCGAGCAATAACTAGTACTTGTGACCACGTAATAATTCAAAATGACCTCGACCTCATCAGCAATTGGTGTAATAGTTGGCTAATGTCCCTTAATTCAACTGAATTTAAAGTAATGTCCTTCTCTCTGAGTTTTCTGACGTTATTAATGGCAATCGCGTATCCAGTGTTAACTCTTTTAGATATTTTGGTGTAACCTTCACATCTAACCTTTCTTGGTTGGACTACCCACATCACCAACATCTGCAGTGACGCCTCACGAATATTAGGCTACATATGCCGCAATCTACGTAAGACGCCCCCAAATATACGTGCTTTAGCTTACGTAACATTTGTTCGCCCTCAGCTGGAATTCGCTTCTACAGTTAGTTTGGTAC